TCTTTTTCTCATCCCTGCAAATTTATGTACGTATATATTAATATGGTGCACTAATTTATTTGATAGAAGGGGTACGGTTTAGTTATTTTCCCAATGATTTCACTCATTTATTAATCAATTTGGTCTGAAATATGCACTTTTTTGTGAATTTCGAAGTAAGTTATATGCAAAAATACTGTGGTCAGCGTAGCCCGAGTTGGACTGATGAGGTTTCTAAGCACGGAAAGGTGTTCCGCACAAAAATGCTTTTTACCCAGTTTACATTCCCGGAGTCAAGATACTAATTTTAGGCCATTTTCAATGAGTTCCCCAGGGCCTGTGGAAAGTTTTGAGGGGTCAGATTTGACTTTTTACAAAGTGTAAACTGTGCTGTTTCTAATGGGTGGGATATTAAGAACCACACCAGCTCCTCCGCCCACTAACCCAAAAACAGTGGGCAAATAACTAAACATTCCCTGATAGAAGAACTTACCTATATTTTTGGGTCAAATTGCGCACTTTCGTATGCACGTCCTGCGCGCTGAATTTCCCGGCCATTTGCACAGACATATCAGCATAAATATGCCCATTTCGTTTGGCTCGACGCAAATCAGCAGCACGTTCTGCCCACAGCTCAATCAGGATTTGGTCATCCTGCTCGCTCCATACATCCTTGTTGTCTGTCTTCCCTATTACGCAGATTCATAGCCAAATGTCCAGCTAACCCAAACCAAAAATAATTTTTAATATAAATGCATATTTTGAGTCAAGAGACGCGCTTAAAGTAGGAACAATTCAGAAAAATAAATTTGTAAGAAAAAATTTTTGTTTTGCCGCAAGTAATTTGAATTAATTTTTCCATTTGTGCGGATATATAAAAAGCCAATCTGATTGATGATTCTTAATATATCTGTGGTCAAGCATTGCTTTAAATTTTTAGAATTCTACTGCAATATATAAGACAGTTTCACTTGAAATTCTACATAATTTTGTGAGTATAACATTTTTCGAGTGGTTATTTTAAAAAGGGATATTTAAAAAGGACTTAGGAAGCGAGCTAAATTATACTTGAAAAAGTAAATATGCGTGCCATACTTCAAATAGCTCCAGCTGCGAGGAACTGCGAGTTCAGCTACTAAATATTCACACACCTTCTGTAAAAATTAAAGAAAAGACTCTGATATGTATGTATATAAAATAAATAATATGCAATATAAAATAGAAATGGATATTTATGACTCGCGAATCTGTTAATCAGATTCAGCATTCAACAAAAAGGAGGCGCTTCTCTGGACGAGATCCGCTTTCGATGGCCAGAGTCCGGCTTGCCTTAGCTCAGTTTTTTTTTTTATAAAATGTAGGTATAATTGCAAGTTTCAGTGCAAATACATATCATGCACATAATTTAGTATGTAGGTATTGTAAATGATTTCGTTGTGTCATTTTTAAAAAGCAAGAAATAGAAACTTATTTTGAAATAAAATAAATACATCTGTTCATTTTCTCCAAAATTCATAAAATTTAGTACTTGGAGCAAAAAAAGCTGTGTAGGAGGTGGCCGTTATGATAAGAAACTCTTCATTATCTTCCAAGTTTTGAAATCTTAGCAATTTTTCTAGAATTTGTGGACAATAATGTAAACCGATTTTGAGGTTCTTTCAGAATTATACTTTTCTCGTTAAAACCAGCGTATGCTCTGAATTTCATCAAAATCGTATAACATTTACTACTTCCTCCCACAAGAGCTGTGGATGTGGTATCGCGTTGAATTATACCATTTTCCACATTTTTTCATTCCTAAGTGCCGAGCGAATCTCTAGTTAGGTTACTACTTTTGGTCGCAGCTTATATGGCACGTCCCACTGTGCGTCGTTGTTGTTGCATTTCCGTGCAAATTTTGTATACGGGTCCCGATCATTGCCCAAGAAAACACAAATACATATTTATTAGTGCGATTCATAAAACGTTGCAAAGTGGCATTTTTGGCGAAATGGCAATGTTGTTTGAACGACCAATCGCAACTCCGGATTGGAAATGTAAAATTAAAAAAAAAATGCCGCGCGTTAGAGTAAAATAAAAGTTTTTACAATTATATTTCGAAGCAGCCTTAACTGATATACTTTTTCTTGAAGTATTTGAAGACAATAAAAAACATGTGTTTCGCGATTTTGACTTTGCAATGATTGCAAAAATACTATGGAGGCAAATTTTACGACAAATGCGACATTTGAAACAACTTTGCGACGTTTCAAGAATTCCAGTATTATGTCAACTACCCCCCACTGTTACATACTCTCATGCAACTATTGGAA